CCGGGTTAACCTCGCTAGGCTTAACATAAATGAATTATTGTCGTACAGGAATACACTAATTAGATTATTTGACGGTAACATGTTTCGTTTTTATGTTTGCCGATTGGGGTTCATATCATGAGTTAAAATCTCCTGATCTGCCTAAATCTGAATTGTTCAAGGAACATGACCAAACGGGTTCTAGTTCTCATCCGTACAAATCTATTACAAGACGTATTTATAAACGTTTGACAATTTAATAAAGTTCCACTACATTGCCGAGGTACCCATTTCCCAAATTACTACCTTTAAACTTTAGCACAGAGTGAAAAATAGGTCCCGATTATCATATAGTTAATGTTCTCAAATGTTACTAAGTTACTCAAAAATCGCAATGATGGAAACGATTTCATGGGACATGTTGGTAGAATCTAAAGTAGACCCGTCTTTTTTCTGCTAATATAACTGATTTGGAAGATATATATAGAGTTATACGAATAAGTAGTACTAAAATGAAAAGGGTACATGTCTACCATCAATTGCTCAAGAAGACGTGTTATTTTTTTTATATGATAATCAGATTGACTGTATGATATCCTCTGGTTTGATCTTCTGCTGACCAATAATGCATCATCTTTTCTTGAAATCAAAGGAAGGAGAAATCGATTTTCTACAAACGGTTGTTTTTTCTATGATTTTTGCCTTGACTCTTCAAGGTTTATTAAAATGTGTAACTAAAAACAAAATCCAGGCACTCAACTAAGGCAACACATATTACAATAAAGCTTATTTAATTGAAATCCTTATTAATCACAGGTGGAAAACTTAAATCATTGCATACATAGATCTATTCACGTTGAATAAGTTAGTAACTATATGAATTTAGTAGGCCCAGTAGAAAATGCGTTGGTTTTTTAAGCGGAAAATAATGGATTCAAGTCTCTGTGTAAACATTAATAAATCAAGTTTTAAATAGGACAAAACATAAATACTCGATCCTATTGTTATTCACCAATCTAGCTGGAGTAAGTCACAAATACGTATCAGGCCATTTTTGAAAAGAGCAAGAACAAAGATTCTAGCAGGCCATTTTTACTTACATACACATACAGCCCATCACTCTATGATTGAATAAAAAAGCATGTCAAATAAATATGTCGTTGTAATCCAGTTAATTTCTCCACTTTATATCTGAGACATTTAATCAGCTGTGGTGTATAGTATTATTAAGATACGACTACAAGTATGCCTGTTGCTTATGTCTATCTACTGTCTTGTTGTAAATATACTCAGTCACTCATTTGTGACTCGTAAATATATTCGTATTTATGTTCAAATATGTTCTTCCTTCAACGAGCCTGAATGATATATGCTTGATCTGTTAAACTCAAAAACCAGTCAAATCCAATTTAATTTCATGCTTAGCGTTTTGAATATCTCAAGTGGAAATAAATCTATGGATTTGACCTAAGCAAACCAGAGTTATTTATAGTCGAAATAAATAAAAAGATTTATAAAGGTAAACATCCATCATTGCTTACAAAAAGCTTGTGAATTAAGGCAATATCGAGGCATACACACAGTATGCACATATGCCAATAACATATTGATCAATTGCAGTCTTAAACTTCAATGGGAAGATACTAGCCAAAACAATACCAAGTGGATTTAAATTCACCCCATTGCACAAGCAAGTGGCTATCAAGACTCAGTAGCTGAGTGGATAACGCGATGGTGTTTGAAGCGAATGGTACTGGGTTCCAGTCCCAGCGTGAAAATCAACTCTGGGATGCAGGTACATCCAGCTGACGAGTCTCAAGCAGGACGAAACGCGCGTCCTGGATTCCACTGCTAGCCACTATCCATCATTGCTTACAAAAAGGTAAACATTTTGTTTAGAACTACCAAATATTTTGTTTCCTAAGTTGTTTTTATATCAAAAGATTACAGTATACAGATAGATTCCAAAATATCGACGACTCATTCATGAAAGTGACTAATTATCAATAAAAATACTCTAAGTAATCGTACAGAAACATCGTTCATTTTGTTAAGCTGATATAAATAAAATTAATTATGGATTTCTGACGAAAATGCAAGTCAAATTTCGTATTTTTGTTGTTGAAATTCTAAATTGTAAGATATCAAAAGGTGATAAATTGTGTGAGCTGAATAAGAGATTAACAATTCTACATATATATTGACGGATTATCAGATTTAACTAGATATGGTTTGTAGTGTCGGTTGCTTTGTATGACGATAGACCACAGGTGAACTCGAGAGAGCTGTAGGAGGCTCAGAAGGGGCCGAAGATATTTCATCCAATCACCTTTTGGAAGAATATTCTAGAATTCCTACCTGTAGCTTCCTGATTGGACAACGCTAATAACCCTCTGTATGCGGATTGGAGGACTGTAGTGATAACTTCGTCCTTACTAATAACTATAAATACCTGATAATTTTGTACTATAATTGACACTGTCTGGGAATAATATTCCTTTCATTAGTCTTCTGTCTTCTCATTGCGACTTGGAAGGGTTCTGGCGTTCTAGTGCTCACGTTATACGCGGTATATCAAGAACAACCTTCAAGATATAACACTATGTTAAGCCCGTATAACTTATTCTAGCTTCTGAACAGGCCAATTTATTCATTCATTCACGTTATGACCTTGTTAATCATTCGTTTATCAACCTTGATTTTTTTTATATGAGTGTATGTATGTGTACACTTCTTATTCCATTCATCACAAATCTGTAGCTTATTTTTGTGTGACTATAAACATGGATTAACGCTTGGTTAATGGAGTTGACTCACATGCCTTCTCCACTAAGCGTTATTTCGCTTCGCTCTCTTCTCATCGCTTTTCCGATATTTTGTCTGGATCAAAGATTGTATGAAATATACGTATTGGAAATTCACTCTCATATTTGACTTATTTAATTCTGTTATTGACTAACGCGATTTAAGTCGATGATTATATACGAGAAATAGGCGACATATATATTTCAATAACAATCATTCATACAATCTACTTGGAGTCAGATCCCGGGCCACTAAATATACAAGAGAAGCTAGTTTGGTTGACTGACAATTTCAAAGTACACTGATACAATCTTGAGAAGATTTTTTCCCATACTTATTGTTCTCAAGAAATCACCGGTTTAACAAGCTAAACGAAAGAAACAATGTTTTCATATTTTTTACAGATCTACACAGAAATTGATAAAAGTAGTAAAGAAATTGAACTGGAGAAAAAAGAAACTGACTATTAGTTGTAACAAAATCAAATTGTCTTAAGATATTCCAAATACTCACCGAAAACTCTGAAGTCCCTAAGTGATTATAGAGCTTTCAGATTTCTGGCCGAAAATTCTACGAAACAATGTGTTCTTACACACTTACATTTAAATAAATAATGAACGTGTAGTCACTTGTGATTAGCTGTGTTTAAGTTACTCGAAATTCTAGTGAGGAGCTGTGACCTATAAGGTGTTAACCATTTTAAGATTGAAGTAATTAAACCATGGTAACATTGTCCATTGGATCTAATCTATTTAGAGTTGACTAAAATTGTCAATGAGTATTATTGATGTAAAGATATGGTACTATCATATTAACTTAAGTGTTCTAGGTGAAATGAGTAGATTAAATTGCGAAAGGGTCTTAGGCTAGGATAAAACTAATAATCAACACTACCTGATTTCCGATAACTTTCTATTTGATACTATTTATTAGTGAAAACTGTTTTCAAACTAAACAATTCTTTATCTAAACATATGTAGATAAATCTCATATACTGTCGGAATAATACTTCCACTGTCTCATTTCGGTTTGCTTACTCAAAGGTTTCTTCAAACTTACTTCTATTTTAATAGTTGAATTCATCAGTCAATTGAAGCTAAACCAACATAGAAAACATCGAAGCACTGGACGGCCGTGCCGTCCTAGTGTGGGACTCCTCAGCACTACGATCCCGCCCCTCGCGAGATTCGAACCCAGAACCTATCATTCTCATGCGCGAACGCTTCACCATATCTTTGAGACTTGATATTAATCTCCCCTTAATTTAATTATAAAGATAATATGTTCTGATAATATGTTTTGATAGATACTTATGAAAGATTACCAAATTTACTATTCTGTTAAAAATTACACTGTGCCGTCATCCAATATATAGATAAACCTTATATACTGTTAGCATTACTATACATCCACTGTAAATCGTTGTCTCATTTCGATTCGGTTACTCAAAGCTTTTTTTTTACAAACTTATATCTATTTCATTGAATATTACACCTTGAATTACGTTAATGTTTATAATCACACAACACAAGTTCAAATCATCTCATTTGATGAAATATCATAGTTTTTATTTCATATTTATTCAATGTTTAATTTCACTAATAAAATCTTTCATAATTGAATTCACAAATAACTTCATAATTCGTTACAATTAAAAATGAATAGCTTTCCACTTATGGAAATACGTTTCTGTTTTTGTCGTTGTTGTGGTGGTGGTGGACAAAATTCACCAATAAAATTCAGCAAAATTAATATATATTGTGTAACTATGTGTAAACAATCCACCCTGTTTATATTTATTTATTTACTTGTTTATTTACAATCTATGTACAATGTTTTATTGATTTATTTATTGCATCATTCTAAATGTTTACTTCATTCTGATAACATGATATTTACAACAAATAAATTAGAATGATTCAATAGATTTGTGTAAATAAGAAAGAACTTATAAATAGTGAAAGAATGATTACATCATACATTAATTGTATGTATTCACCATTTATTAGATATTTCCTATTTGTTTCTGATTGTTTGATCATTTATTCAATATTTTTCTAAAACAAAAAGAAAAACAAAAAGAAAGACAAAAACAAAAAAAGAAGAAAATCATCAACTTGAATTAAATAATAATTAAAAAAATGAGAAAATTTTGGATAAAACATCATCAAACCATTTCAATCAATCTTGTTATATTTTGTTTTTTAATATTTAAAATGTCCGAATCCTTATTACAATATGGTAATCGTATTAATATTTATAAAAATGTATGTCAAATAATAATAAGTCAATTAAATATAACATTTGATCAATTATGTCAATTTCATTATTATCATCATTATCATCATAATAATAAACAATATGAAATAGTCAGTAACAATTTATTTGTTAATATGAATACTTCTAATATTATAAATGATCATTCGAATACAAGTAATGAAATACAAATACAGAATAAAATGAATTATATAAGATCTATTCAATCTAATTTATATACTATACAAATGAATATACAAAAATTATCTGGATGGTATTTATTAATTTATCGTCTTTTAACTAATATACCAGCTATGTTAATATGTTTTATTTATGGTTTATTATTAAATAGAATAAGTCAAAATTATATTATGATTATACCATGTTTAGGATGTATTCTATCATGTATATTATTTATAATTAATTTATTACCAAATTTAAAATTAATAACAAATTCAATGATATTTATTTTAATTGGTGGTACACTATATGGATTATGTGGTAAAAGTAATGCAATAAATTTATGTGTTCATAGTTATATAACACAATATAGTAATAAAAAAAAATGTACAAATATAATTGGACGTTTATTAGGTGTAAATTTTTTTGGTTTAGCAATTGGTGCATTATTAGTTGGTATGTTTTATCGATTTTTAAATTATTTTGAAATGATTATATTTGTCATGATTGGTAATTTATTCATAATAATCATTTTATTATTTTTGGTAAAAAATTCTAAAAAATCTTTGTTGAATTCTTCTTCTTCATCATCATCATCATCACCATCAACAATAACACATTCAGTAGAAATAGTGGTTAATCAATCTGATGAACAACATGTCGAACAGAGGGATTTGAATGATAACCTTACTGCTAATACTAATAATAATAATAATAATAATAACAATAATAATACCAGCCATACGAACTCATATACACACGAAGAACATAAAACATATTGTCAAGATATAATTTCTTACTTATTAAAACCTTTATTTATATTAAAATCTTCTTATAAATTTCTATTTCCTAAACGTACTACTACTACTGATAATAATAATAATAATAATAATAATAATAATAATAATAAGCATATTTACTTATTAACCTTATTAAGTACAATATTATTAAAACAAATAACTAAATCTGGTGAACAAGATGTAACATTATTATATTTAATGAATCAATCAAATTTATTATGGAATACTGAATTATATGCATATTACATAACATGTTATTATAGTTTAATGTTTATACAATTAATTATATTATTACCAATTATAGAGAATAAATTTCTTATACGTGATACAACATTAATTATTATTGGTCTATTTACTGAAATGATACGTTTATTAATTTTAAGTTTATTACATCATAAAATATTGATCTTTTTAAGTGCTATAATTGGTTCACCAGCATGTTATATAACAACTTGTACAAAATCATTAATAAGTAAATTAGTAATATATAATGATGAATTAAATATAAGTTTGACAATTATATCTATAATAGAAATTATAGCTAATTTTATTGGTGGATTCTTATTTATATTTATATATAATAAAACTTTATTATATTATTCATCATTTATATTTATATTTGATGTGATATTAAATATACCAGTTATTATTATATTTATATGGTTAAGATATAAATTAATTGAATATGAATTAAATAGAAATTAAATCATTATGTAATTGTTTTTTATTACATATCAATATAATTGTAATAATTATAACTAAAAAAAAGTGAAGTAATAGAAAGTGAATGAGAGTTAGTCACATTGATTACATCATCATCATCATCATCACCATCATCATCATCATCAACATCCTCTTACCGTTTTCTTGATCTGATGAAATCAACCCATTTGAATTATTCAACTGATTCTTTTCATTTATAATAGAAAATGATCTATCTGGAAAACTATCTTCTTCAGCTTTTGGTACATAATTATCTGTTTCATTAGCATGTTGTAATGTAGTGATAAGACGTTTTTTACCCATTATTGTATCATTTATTATACCATTATGATCATTTTCATAACTATCCGAATATGAATAATAATCATTTTGATAATAATTCCTAATGTTATTTGTGCCAACTATTGGCTTGACAATATATTGTCGTCTATTCATTAATGATGATATTTGATTGTTATTATTCATTACTGATTGTTTTGATCTATTACTTTTATCATCATTGATATCTCTTCGTGTACCGGCGCTAACTGATCTACGTGACTTTGTTCTATGTTGTGATGATTTGATTAATTTTGTTTCAGATGAATTATTCGATGATGTATAGCTTGTAACATCATCATCATTATCATCATTGTCAATTATGCTTGTAACTAATAGCATTGAAACGTTACTTAGTAACCGTACAAATACTTATCATATTTATAATGATTAACAAAAATCTTAATTATACTTAAACATAATATGACTAAATATTATATTCTACACTTTTTTTACTTCTCTCTTTGTTTTTCTCTTTGTTTTTCTTGCTTTTTTTCTTTATGAATTATATACTACTTAATATAATATTGATTTACTATTAGTACAAGTGTATACTTCTTAAGAAATGGTATTGTTTTAATGGACATTTTCTATGTCTTTTTTTCTTTCAAAACAACAACATGTTCATTTTATTTCACATACAATATAATAAGTTTCATACACATAGATCCCATTTATTATCTTAAAGAGAGTAAGAACTCCACTAATCTTCGTTTTTGCTCTCATTATAATACAATAGGATACTTTCCTAATTTTCATTATTCTAAAATAACATTTTATAAAACACTTATATTTAAGTCTTATCAATGATGAGTTGTTATTATTAAAATATTTTTGGTATGATTTAATATTCTTAATTAATTTAAACAAAATTCGTGAATTATAATTATATTCATATAGTACAATCTGTAATACTGATATATTTGAATGATTTCAAACATTAAAATAAATTATATTGACCAAAGTTTAATGTTTTAAATGGATTCGAATCTCACGGGGGCTGGGATCGTGAATGAGCATTGTTGATGAGTCTCACAATAGGACGAAACAGCCGTCTAATGCTTCCAGGTTTTACGTGGTGGTCTAACTTCGATTGACTCATGATCTCAACTATTAGAATTACTATAATATCCACAAAATACCCCTTCTGATATTAATTAACAAATGCTCATTAGTGATTGGCTTCAAGAGGTATTTCATGGAGTTCTAGTGAGAAGCAGTGACTAGTGGAGTTCAAGTGGATCTGTTATGAGATAGTAACTGATTGAAGACAATGGTGGATGTGTTGTTCAATTTTGTGGATTAGTGTAGGTTAGATATCGTTGACACCGTTGGATGCTGACCGACTCAATGGTCTAGTGGTTAAGCGCTCGTACGCCAAACCGATGGGTCCTGCGTTCGAATCTGGCTGGGGGAGGTGTAATCGTTTATGTGCAGTGCTGATGAGTCTCGCACTAGGACGACACGGCTGTTCAATGCTTCCATGTTGGTCTAGCTTTAACTGACCCATGATCTCAACCAGTGAAATTTAACAAACCTCCAATTTCGAAAATTACTATAGTCAACTTGCTTATGGTACACATAAAGTGGATTATCTTCACCAATGACACTAAACCACGAATTTGGCTTAGATACGTAGATGATAACTTTTTTATGAAAAAAGGAAAGACTTATTTAATATCTTTTTCGAGACGGCCTAATACACTTTCGTAGCACATTAAACTTACAAACGAGAATGAAAATGAAAATGGTGAGCTACTGTTTTTAGATTACTTAGTGAGAAGAAGTCTAAATGGAATTCTAAATCTATCCATCTACCAAAAACCTACATACTCAAACCTTGACCGAAATGGCATTGAATTGTTCAGATCTGTTTTTTGATTGATCATACATAATATTCTTGTGTTGTTCCTTTGTACTATTTAAACTTGAATTAATTTTGATTTGGTTATTTATTCCCTGAAAAATTGACTTACACTGAGCCACAAAACGTTGGAAAATTTGATTTTTCTATTCATTAGGATATTGCAAATATATTAATTTTGTTTATAACAATTTACCCAATGCTCAGTTTATTTGAAATTATCAAAGCAAACCTTGGTAATGATACCTATATTGATCAAAGTTCAATCTTTCAAATGTGAATTAAACAGACCTCCAGTTTTGAATATTATGATTAATAACGGTTAATTAGTTTATTATAAATATAAAGATTGATAATAGAATTCAGTGCAGAAAGAGAGTATTCACCTGCATTTTATATATTTTTAGTATTTTAATATATATAATTGTAACACTGAACATCGTACCCCTATGGATGATATTTATGAAAATAATTACGAAGTAAAAGATATATAAATGAAAATTATGGTGGTATATTCAAACTGCATCACGAGGCAAGCCCTAACTTGGAATCCTGAAGGGAAGCGAAAAAGAGGAAGGCCAAAGAACACATTGCGTCGGATAATAGAAGCAGATATGAAAACGATGAATTACAACTGGACGGAGCTAGAAAGGATTGCCCAGGACAGGGTTGGATGGAGAATGCTGGTGAGCGGCCTATGCTCCTTCACGAGGAGTAACAGGCGTAAGTAAGTAAGTAAGTAAGTAATATTTTTCGGCATTACTCATCGAATACAGTTGCACACACTATTGTATTTTGTCTTTTTCACATTATTAGAATCTTTTGTGATAAATTCTTAATTAAAACAGTCTATTAATCAAGTCTTTTCATGTAATGCACCCTTATTTTTTTAAGTTTCATATTCCTTTTTTCATTGAAATTCATCGATTTAGAAGATTTTAACTGTTTACTTCAGTAATTCAAAAGTTATCGATTTCAGGCAACTACATTGATGTAACTCATTATCTGTAAAATGTTCAGGGATATAAACAAGACTAATTACTGTTTAGTCTAGTTCCCTCATTGTACTTTATTCATCATTTTCACTGACACATTAATTGAAGTATTCTTTATATACCGACTACTAAAATGTTTAAACGACTAGGTACACTATGATGGAAAATGAGATATGGTTGAGTGATTGATGTAAATTAGTCTCTAGTTGATTGAAATCGAATCTTCTCAGCTTTTGACGATTTGTAAATTCAACTTCAACTCACTTTTTAAACAAATAACATAAGTTCAAATGACATTTTTTTAAATAAAGCAATTTCCTCATTAGAATAACCAATAAATAATAAATCTTGTACAAGTAATAATATCACAGATGACATAGAAACGATCATCAATACAAATATCAGTTCGTATAGAACAACAAAATCTAAACATATACATTTTAGTACGGTTGGATAATGACTGACATAATATGCTTGTTTTTATTATTTACATAGTTGGAAATTAATTGGTCTACTTATTTAATTAGGCCATAGAATCTCTTTAAAGCTTTCAATTCGATTTAATATATTTGTGAAAATCATTGGATAGAAATCAGTTTTATGCGAAACTTTTTTGTTGCCATTTTTATGTTTTTCATTGATGAAATGAGAAGAGAAAGTCGATTTAAATAAGTATAAATGATTTATTTGGAATAATACACATAAATACTGTACGAAATTTTGATTACATATTTTTCCTGTTTTTCCTTCTCAGAATATATCTCTAAACAGTCTTCTAAGCCTTGTCAACCTCTGATTTGCATACTTTGTAGTCTTATAACAGTGACTCTGTATTCTAATTTACAAAGTATGTGTCCAACCATTTCTGGAAGACTGCAGTTTTATTCTGTATAATGTTCACGTAAAAGATAAAATTAAGTTGGAATCCGTTCACCTATGAATTACATTTTAAATTCTTGGGAGTGGCAGCAAAATCCGACGTTGCTGGATAGTAGGGGCAACATTGCTAGCCAACTTAGGCGGTCGAGAGATATCAGACTGATTACCTACTCCGTTGTATCCTTTATCAACTCGGGTTCGTACCCGAGGCTCAACAAATGCCATCGGTCCACTTGATATGTTTACTTATGTATAAGAACTGAAGAAGTCCTTGGGTCTATGTAATTCATGTATATAAGTATATGCGAAGGGTGTGTGTGTGATGCCATACAAAGAAAATGTTAGCTAAAATATTTCTGCCCTATGTCTAATAAAATCAACGACCTAGTCTATCAGGTTGAAGTTACAATAAAATGATTTGGTAGCAAATACTAGAGATAGGCGACCAACAACCTCCCCTGAGGGAATGCTTATGTTTATTTGTGTTTCAGGAAGTACTGGGACGGTAGCCATGGTCTGGATGATGTGCACGTAATGTGTAAGAGACAGTAATTCTAGAAAATACGTTTCCAAGGGAGTGGTGAACATCTACTATCCCAAGTGGGTGAATATACCTACATGTATGCCATGGGATGAATGAAGTAAAATCTTTGTGTTACCGGTGTGCACGTAAATTATATTTGCTCACAAGATAGGTATGCCTGTATGTATACCAAGGAATACTGGGATGAAATTGAGTGTGTTATTTGGTACGGATATAGACTATACTTATCCAGGATAAGTAAACCTCAAAATGTCCTTTACTTGCTCTCCTTACGATACCGAGATACAAGCAAAGACCTGGAGGGTCGCGGTTCCCCACAAAATCATATCCGCACAGTGGGTTTGTGAAAATCGAAAACATGGAATCCATTCCAGAAGAGCCTATGTAAGCTTCATCGGACGGAGCTTCATCAACTAATCTAGATGGAGTACCATTCTTGGGAGTGACTAAACATTAAACTACAAATCCAGAAGCAATAAACTGGACACTATATGAAAGCAGGGATTTCAACTAAATCTAATCAAGAAACACTTAGTTATAGGTTCCCCAATTCCTTATCATCAATGAAGTTGTCTCATTATAAATCTTATCTGTATATGAATTACTCTACTTGTAAATTCTTGAAACTCTGGAATAGTTTGTCACAATCTGTGAGTGAAATAAAATCACTGACATCCTTTTCCTTTATAGCATCAATAGGGCAAAACATGCGTCCTGGATTCCACTACTAGCCAACATCCATTTCTGCTTAGAATGCTTGTGAATTAAGACAATATCACAGCAATTCGTACAGGATGCACATATGCTAATAAGACATTAATCAGTTACAGTCCTAAACATCAATGGGAAGTGTTATATCCCTATGAAAACAATGAATAGTAACTTTTGGGACCCATTTATGAACCAGTACTACGTGTACATTTTTATCGTATAATTATTAAATAACTAAACTATTCATATTCGTGTTCTTCTTATTATGCGCCTTATTTTGACCTATGAACTATTATTATATGATTTACCATTCTTACATTATGCCCTGTCTATTAATTACTACCTCCCTCATTCACAGCCACATTCGGCTAAATCTTGTACAAATGCTTTTTCCTATTTTATGGTACGATGTGACGTGTGTGGTTGGTATATAAATCCAGTATATTTGAAATAAATGATTCATATTTCAGAGGCTGAGATTAGTGTTCTGGACTTAACAGGCTAGGCTAGGTGGAA